TGAATTTTTTTTTCTCTTTATCTCTTTCTTTTCTGAGACACAGTCTTGCTATGTAGTCCAGACTGGCCTCGAACTCATGGATATCCTCCTACCTCAGCCTCCTGCTGATGTGAGCATTTAATGAGATGCTACATAGGGAGCTCTTGGTGTGGAGTGGTATGCAGTAAGTACTGCATCAGCGGAAGCTGCTACTGCTCATTGTATTTGCTTTCTACAATGTAAAAATCGTCTTGTAAGGTATGGGAAAGTCTTGGAAGGCTTTAGCAAAGGTAAGAATTGTAGAAAAATGATTTAACGCAGTCAGAAACAGAAGCAGAAAGAGAGAATGAAACCTGGCTCAAACTACAGCAGAGCCAGGCGGGCAGCTCAGAGTGTGCGCTCAGGCCGGGGATATAGTTCAGCGGCACAGTGCCTGCCTGGCAATCTTGAGGTCATGAGTTTAACTCCAGGTACCAGGAAAGAAAAACGCGTGCATTCAGTTGTCAGAGTTGCCAGGCTCTCTGTGAGCCCTGGGCAAGGGACCTCTCCTGTTGACCTCAACTTCAGAAATAAGATTTGTTTGTAGTACTGTGTATCACAGAGGAGGAGGAGACAGAGAGACATTGGAGGAGACAGAGAGACACAGTCCTGGTACAGATACATAGTCAGTAGACAGTGGTTGATAATCATATTTCAGATTCTGAGGTACCTGCTTCCTGGAAATGTCTTCCTACTTAAGTTCAACTTCCAAGGCTGGAAGGAATGATGATATTCACAAAAGATCTAGTTTTCTCAGGAGACAGAGAAACAGCAGTCTCCAGACATGTGGTCTAATCACAACACTCAGGAGGCTGAGGCAGGAGGATTGGTGTGAGTTTGAGGCCAGCCTGGGCTACATAGTGAGTTCAGGGCCAGCCTGGACTACATTAATGAGACTCTGTCTCAAAAAAACCAAAACAAACAACTAAAAAAACCAGACGTGTGGTCTTTCAACAGGGTGCTTTACTGGAGGGCACAGGTACTGCAGGGCGTTAGGCAGGTGGGGGGAAGCTTTTCAGACACTGCTTTCTAACAGTATTTTTTGGTGTCGAGATCCTTGTGCTCCTTGATGTATGGAGCCTTGGAGAAGCAGATGGCAGCTGCACGGTCACAGTTGCAGATGAAGGCCTCGCACTCGTTGTTTTTGCCTAAAGAGAGACAAGCAGAGAAGGTTGAGCCAAGGTGGACCCAGCCTGGTACAACCCAGGGGCAGGAAGAACCAACTGGAATGGGCTTGGTGGCCTTCTGGTTGGTGCAGATCTAGTGTTAAGAGATTAAGCAACTGGAAATACAACAAGACACACAGTTACACTTCTCTGTGATGAACAGTGAGTATAATCTTTGAGACATTATGTGTCCTAAAAAAATATTCCTTGTTGGTGGGCATGGTGCACACCTGTACTCTCAGGTTTCGGGAGGCTGAAGCAAGAGGATTACAAATTTAAGGCCAACTTGGGCAACTTAATGACTGTGTCTCAAGAATTTATTAAAAAGATTGGCCAGGCTGGGCAATCCATGCCTGTAATTCCAGCATGCTGGGAGGCTGAGGCAGGAGAATTGAACATTTGAGCCCAGCCACGGCCATGTAGT